TTTTTTTTTGAGACAGAGTCTCACTTTGTTGCTCTGGGTAGAGTGCTCTGGTTTCACACCTCACAGCAACCTCTAACTCTTGGGCTCAAGAGATTTTCTTGCCTCAGCCTCCCAAGAAGCTGAAATTACAGGCATCTACCACAACACCTGGCTATTTTTAGAGATGGGGTCTTGTTCTATCTCAAGCTGGTTTCGAACTCTTGAGCTCAGGTGATCTGCTACTCAGCCTCCCAAGATGCTGGTATTACAGGCATGAGTCACCATGCCTAGCAACATCATAATTTGATGTTAGGCAGTTGTGATGATTGCACAACTCTGTGCATATACATAAAACCACAAAATTGGTTGTGTGCAGTGGTTCACGCCTGTAATCCCAGCACTTCGGAGGCTGAGGTGGGTGGACTGCTTGAGCTCAGGAGTTCAAAACCAGCCTGGGGGCAGCGCCTGTGGCTCAAAAGGGTAGTGCGCTGGCCCCATATGCTGGAGGTGGTGGGTTCAAACCCAGCCCAGCCCTGGCTTAAAAAAATAATAAATAAATAAAGTTTCTAAAAAAAAAAAAAAAAAAAAAAATTTTTAAAAAAAAAAAAAAAAAAAAAGACCAGCCTGAACAAGAGAAAGACCCCATGTCTAAAAAATAGCTGGGTGGGCTTGGCACTTGTAGCTCAGTGATTAGAGGGCCGGCCACATGCACCAGGGCTGGTGGGTTCAAACCCAGCCCAGGCCTGCTAAACAATGACAACAACAACAAAAATAGCCAGGCATTGTGGTGGGTGTCTGTAGTCTCAGCTACTTGAGAGGCTGAGGCAAGAGAATCTCTTAAGCCTAAGAGTTTGAGGTTGCTATGAGCTATGATACCCGCACAGCACTCTCCTGAGGGCCACAAAGTGAGACTATCTAAATACCCCACTGGGCTCAGCAACTGTGCTCAGTGGTTAGGGTGCCAGCCACATGGAGCTGGCAGGTTTGAACCCAGCCTGGGCCGGCCAAACAATAACAACTACAGTGGAAAAAAAAAAAAAAATAGCCAGGCATTGTGGCAGGCAGGTGGGCCCCTGTAGTCCCAGCTACTTGGGAGGCTGAGGCAAGAGAATCATTTAAGCCTAAGAGTTTGAGGTTGCTGTGAGGTATGATGTCACAGCACTCTACCAAGGGTGACACAGTGAGACTCTGTCTCAAAAAACCAAAAAACCCACTGAATTGCACACTTTAAATGTGTAAATTATATGCTATAAGAATTATATCTCAATAAAGTTGTCTAACACTTGCATGGTGGGCAGCGCCTGTGGCTTAAAGGCGCCAGCCCCATATGCCAGAGGTGGTGTGTTCAAACCCAGCCTTGGCCAAAAATACTGCAAAAAAAAAAAAAAAAACACTTGCATAGTGCTTACTAGCCCAGATTTAAGCTAGTCTTAAACAGTCCCTTTAATTAGTGATTTATCTGTCTGAGATTGGTGAGTGGCTCTATTTTATTGGTTCTCCCTTGAAACCTCTAGGACAAGATATCCCTAGATATCTTAGCCCATGGCAGACCAGGATAATGAAGAGAACAATTGGGAAACCCAATTCTACAACGTCTGCACAGAAATGTTTGGTCACATGTTTAGTTCAATATACCCCATAACTGGGACTACAGATGCCCACCACAACACCCAGCTAATTTTTCTATTTTTAGTAGAGATGGGGTCTTCCTTTTGCTTAACTCATGAGCTTTAATAATCCACCTGCCTTGCCTTGGCTTCTCAAAGTGCTAGGGTTACAGGTGTAAGCCACCACACCCAGCCATCCCCAGCAGTTCTCTTGTCCAAACGAAGCTATTCTGCCTTTTATGATGAAGGCAAACAGGGAAATAAATACAGAGGCACAGAGTGTACACTAGTGGTTGCTTTAGGCTGGGGAAACAGGAATAGAAGACAGTAATTTTTTTTATGGGATGATGAAAATTCTTAATTTGAATCTCATAATAGTTGCACATATTTGTGAATATACTAAAAGAAAAAACCATTGACTTGCACATTTTGAACTGTATGGTATGGAAACCACATTTCAATAAAGCTGCCTCAAAAAAAAAAAAAAAAATCAAGACCGGAAGTGAATCAGTGGTTACCAGGAAGCGACTACTAATGGGAACAGGCTTCCACAATGTTCTGGAATTACTGGTGATGGTTACATAGCTTTGTGAAAATATATATATATTTTTTTTTTCTCATTTATTTTGTGAATATATTAAACCACTGAATTATACACTAGGGTAACTTTTATGGAACGTTGTATTTCAATTTTTAGAAAAGGTTTTGTAGATCTGTATTGACACAGAAAGATGTTCTTGATACTTTATTGGAAAAAAAAACTTAAATACAACCAACCGTATGGAATAAAATGAACCCTACAACTTGAGCTCTCTCAGGCCTACCCAGAGTGTAGATGCCAACGAGATGCCCCAGATCAAAGCCTCAATAAATGAACACCCCAGATCTGCAGAAGTCTACTCTGGGCTCACTCTGGCTTCACTCCTTCCAACAGGAAATCTAAAAGCTCTCCAGCCTTCTTAGAGCTTTCCCCTGCCTTTCTCCATTGTTAGACCCCTATACTCAGGGTAAAGAGCTCAGAGTGGGGTCCTCATGGCAGAAGAAGGAAAGAGAGAGGTGGGATAATGAGTCTCAGGAGTCTCCAGACAAGCTGCCCTTAGTTCAGCTCCCAAGCTGAAGTCAGCTGAGCCTCACTAGGGCCTCTCTCTGCATAGGGGTCCCAGTTCCACTCAATGTCATCTCCTCTGAGAAGCCTTTCCCATCTCAACCAGGAACTGTTAATTGCCCTCAACAACCTTGGCATGTTACCCCCTGTAACAATGGCTGTAAAGGGAGATGACTGTCGCTCTGGCTGTCACTCAGGAGGATCACAGCTCCCAGATGAAAAGCCAGGATCCACCTAGGCAATGCCTGACACACCAGCAGGTGCTGCAGAGCTTTTGTTGTTGTTGTTGTTATTATTATTTTTGAGACAGAGTCTCACTTTGTTGCCCCATGGCATCATAGCTCACAGGAGCCTCAGACTCTTGGGCTCAAGCAATTCTCTTGCATCAGCCTCCCAAGTAGCTGGGACTACAGGTGCCCTCAACTATGTCTGGCTATTTTTATAGAGAGGGGTCTCGCTCTCGCTCAGGCTGGTCTCAATCTTCTGAGCTTAGGGGATCCACCTGCTTCAGCCTCCCAGAATGCTGGCATAACAGGTGTGAGCCACCGAGCCTGGCCAGCATTTGTTATATTAACAAAGGACTACAGAGGTAAACATAGACCTGCCACAGCCACCTTTGGATACAAGTGGTTGGAGTTAGCATGCTGACAGATCCTGGCCTGAGGACAGAACCACAAGTTTAAGGCTTTCTGAAAAGGCAGGGAGAGTTGAACAGCAAAGGGAAATGAATGCAAAGATATGTCCCTAAGTGGCACTGCCTGCAGCCCCACTCTTATGACACCATGGGGAGAGTGCCATGGCATCATAGCTTATAGCAACCTCAAACTCTTGGGCTCAAGCTATCATCTTGCCTCAGCTTCCCAAGTAGCTGGGACTACAGGCTCCAGCTACTTTTAGAGGTGGGGATCTCGCTCTTGCTCAGGCTGGTCTCGAACTTGTGAACTCAGGCAATCCACCTGCCTCAGCCTCCAAGAGTGCTAGGCGTGAGCCACCATGGCCAGCCAGTCCCACAATTTCAATTCCTGAAATTATAGAATTCCAACTAATTCCAACACCAATTTGGGGGACCAAGTCTCCCCTCCACTTCACTGCCCTCACACTTTTTGGAAATCAAGTCTGAGCTTGTCCTGGATGACCAGTACCACAGGCAGCTATCTGCCCAAGCCATCCCTTTCCAGCTCGATAAGCTTTCCTAAACCGGGACAGCAAAGTACCACAGAGGACCAAAGTGCTCAGTGGCGGCAGCAGTGCTCTTGCCTGTCCTTGGTCCATACAAACCACCTGCCTTCACCAGGCGGTCACCCACAACCTCAGGCTGAGGGGAAGGACAGAGACCCAGCACTCCTAGCAGCACCCAGATTGGCAGTTGGCACGTGGCAGGTGTTCAGCTTTCTTTTTACCAGGGGCCTGACAGCACCTCGGGATGGCAAAGCACAGACCCCCTCGGTCAAAGCTGGCTCAGATTCAAAAGTGCTTTTTCTTTTGCTAGTCAGGAAAAAGGAGGAAGACAAACAGCAGGTGGCCGCCTGTCTGGGTCTGGGCTGCAGGCCAGCGACTAACTCTTTGTTCCACGAGGGGCTTCCCTGTCACTTTTCCCTAGCTAAAAGCATTGCCTCCTTGCAATTCAGAGGAAGGGGGCTCTGAAAGCCTTCGACCACAACCTTCATCGATGCAAAGGCAATTTACTGGGCTCAGAAAGTAGTGTCTCAGGTCTCTATTACCACCTACAAGGAGCCATGGCCTTGGAACTTGTCCAAGAGTGGAAAAGTGGGTAGTGGTCCAGTCACCCTGGGAAGTCTAATCTTAGGATTGGGGTGGGCCCAGGGGCTGGCACGTTCAAGCACACCCTCCCCACACTCCGATCCCCAAGCTGGCCGTCCCCATCGGACTCCGCGTAACCCCGGGCGCTCCACAGTGTTCCCCGCCCCACGTCTCACGCAAACCGAAGGGAGAGTCCCACCCACCCCCCAGCCTCCCAGCAGCGTCTGTCCACAGCTAGGCATCCGTTGCCCAGTGCCCCGGAACAAAGGCCGCCGCTCAGAGCGAGCGCGAACGCCATGCGGTCGTGCTAGGGGCAACACGCACTGGGCTGCATGCCAGGCGCGCACGCATGCGCTTACACACGCACTCACGGCGCAGGCGCGGGGCGCCGGGACACGGGAGCCCAGGCCGCCGCAGAGACCGCTGGGAGGCGCCCGCTGGGGCCCGGCCCGGCCGGCACGTTCATTCACCTATAGTAAAAGACATCCCTGTGGCCGGCCGACAGCCCCGACCTTCTGGGCACTTCTTCCCTCTCCCAGCCCTGCGGGAGCGCCGGACAC